GGGGGGGGGGGGTTGACTCCCTGGGCAAGGGCTGCTTCTCAGTCTTGCTGAGCCGACTGCATAGTCTAAAGCCGGCAGACCGGGAAACACAGTAGAGCCACCACCACCGCCCCTCCCCACCATCAGCCCTGTGATGCCCAGCTGGTCTCTCTGCCTTACCTTGGCAGCAGCCCATGGCTGCAAACTTGACTCCGTGAGTCCAGCCACTTCCCTCTTCTTCCACACGTGCGCACACACAACTGGCAGGCAGTGCAGTTGTGTGACTGGGATCAGGAAAGTGAACAGGTTACAAGTCAGTATCAGAAACATGAAGGATACAATGCTTTTAACCACGGTGCTGCTGCTCAATCGTGCTGGCAGGCACCTCTCCCTGATCCTCAGGCTCTCAGCCACAGAGCCCTTGTCTGCCCCGCCCTGCAGTGTTACTGAGCACTGCCAGTGCCGAAGGCACTTAGCTGTCCTGGCTCTGTGGGCTGAGGTGCCTACTGCTCTGTCGCATGGTCTCTGCTGCCACCATTGCTGCTACTTCTGGCTGAGCATGGCCCCTGCTGCTGCTGGCCACGAGATTCTCTGTTCCTGCGTCTGAGACACCTCACTCTATAGTTAGTGGAATGGCAAAGTTGACCAATACCTTATTTGCATGCTCCTACCCAGTCATTTAGTGTGGGTTACAAGACTGGCTAAAGAACCAACGCCAATTCATTTCACGTCAACACAACCCACATGAAATGACATATCAAGCAATAGGTCGCAGACCCAGCCTGACTGCTGGGCAGTCCCCATGCCTTGGAATAGTCATGAACTCTGTGGTGGGAGAGGTGCAGATGGGCCTGAGAAGCTACAAAGGTACTGTGGTCAACGGCACCAGATGCTGCCCCAAGATCCAGGAGAATGGGAGAAAATTCTAGAAGTAGGTCCTTGTGCAGGCCTCTCTGAGAAGGGTCAAGAATGTAGTAACATAGGCCAAGGCTCACCAAGGGATTGTGGTAGCAATTGTACAATTCTACTTGAAGTGATTGAAATATGGAATGATAGGGTCTATGTATTAAATCGTTAACTAATAATAATAAACAAGAGAGAGAAAAGGGAATTAGGGGTCTGGAAGGTCATTTCCCTCCCCTCCCCACTGACCTATCTTCCACCACGAGTCCCTAGGCAGAAGGGGCCCTGAGTGTCCACCTCTTAAAGGCACAACGTAAGTGCCCCAAAGCCCAAGAGTGGTATGTTCTTTGGGTAGATTCCCACAGCATGGGGTGGGTAGGGCAGGAGGGCAACTGAGGCTCAGAAGCCAGAGACCTCCAAGGACATTCCTGGCCGGACCCCAGAGCTCACTCCTCGGGTGCCCATTAGAATGGGGAGGGGACAGTGACTGATGTTCTCCTGACCTGACCTTTCACCTGTCAGTCCCAGAGGGCTGGGCAAAGCCTTGTGAAGGAGTATGATTACAGGGCTCTACTTTAAACTTTACAAGGTGAGTCAAAAATATTGCCACCAGATCATAAGACCCTTTAGTACACAAAAATAGCAAGCTGTGACGCTATTGCCTCTCCACACCTGCCATCACCAGCACTTCCCTTGGAGAACTCTGTGCTCGCCCACCCACACATCAAAAGGGCAGTTTGGGCAATAAACCGGGCTCCGTTTCCACATGGTGGGGGCTTTTGGAAACCAAAAACCAGTCTGAAGGGGCAAGCTCTGAGCTCCAGGGCGGCTGGGGTAAGTTTCCCCAACAAAATTCTGGTGGGACAGCCCTCACCATCCTCGAAGGTGGACCAGAGGGGGTTGTCCTGCAGGGGCAAACTCCCCATCACCACTTTACCTGGCCTCTTTCTCACAAGGGCTGTTGTCTTCCACTAAAAAAAAAAATCTCCCTAATAAACTCTTGGAACTCCATGAAACCAAACTGATAGAACTAAAAGGAGAAATAGATGCATCTGCAATTCCAGCTCTAGATTCCAATACTCCTCTCACCAACTGGTGCGGGGGCAAAGTCAGTGGGTCTAAGGAAGACCTGCACAGCCCCGCCGCCCAACTCCACTGGACTGACTTGTACATCACGCCCCACCAGCAACAGGGCTCGTCTGCCGCTCGCCGAGCATTCGCCGAGAGAGGCCAGATGCTGGGCCGGAAACAGCGTTTCAAGGCGTGTGAGATTTCAGCACACAAAGCACCTTCTCTGACCCAAACGGAATTAAACTAGAATTAGAAACAGACATGCGGGTTATCAGCAAACATTCAGAAAGGAAACTCTTTGCAAACATGACGACTTCGGCTTTCCCAGATCAGTCGCGGCGCTACATGGAGAACAGTGGGGGACAGAAAGAGCAACTGCGGGGCGCCTGGTGGGAGGCCTTGGCAGCTGTTCCAATGAGTGATGGTGCCACGGGCAGGGCCCTCCGTGCTGAACGGCCGTGAGTGTGCCGATGGCCGGGGTGTTGGGCTAAGAGTGAGGGATCACACCCACATTGGAGACTTGCGTAAAACCAGTTTGGCGTTGTCCCCGACTGAGATGGGCACCGAGGCTAGGTGTGAGTGGAGGGGAAAGACGGGGTTTGTTTAAATCACTGACATGCCTATTACTTCTCTACTCCATCCAAGTAGATGGAAGCTGAACGCGTCGTTGGAGTCTGTTCTGGGAGAAAATGTGAGCCTCGTGTACGGTGGGGTTCCCTCACCATGGGGATGTCAGAATGCATGGAGACAGAACTGGGGTCCCAAACCTACCTGTGGGGACTTCTTAGTGGCTGGGAGAGGAGGAACTGAGAGGTTGGAGGACAGGATGGTAGGCCAAGTGGGATCCTGAAAGATGGGAAATTTACAGTCCACTCATCAAATAAGAACATGGGGATTGGTCATGGTCAGTGGCTGGCTGGAAGGGGGAAAACCAAACACCAAACTTACTGCCCTCGAGTGCTCTCCAACTCACAGTGACCCTGGAGGGCAGAGTAGAACTGCCCCTGTGGTTTCCTGAGACTAAATCTTCAGGGCAGTAGGAAGCCTCATCTTTTCTCCTGTTTGCCAACTGCGGACCTCTCGAAGTGGAACCTACTGTCCGTTACCAGGACGTCCATATATATATGTATATATGTACACATATATGTATATATGTACACATGTATGTATATGCATATATAAAATGAAAAAACCCTGTGTTTTGTTTGCCACTGGGAATACCACCACGGAAAAGCAATGACGGAAGATGGCAGGAGAGAATGGCCAAGCCAGTCCTCAGTGCTGCCCGAGAGGTGGGTTCTGGGGTACAAGTGGAGGTAGCCTCAGAATCACACACAAACAGGAAGAATGCCAAGCAAGTGGGCACGGCTGGAGGCAGGAAGACCAGGCGGGAGGTGGGAGCTGGGAGCCGGCGACCTTCTCACTCAGGATCTGGATAGCCAGCTGAGGAAAGTGGGTGACCCTGGGCAGGGGCAGCCCGGGGCCCACCTGAGCTTGGGGGGAAGAGTCGTGGGAGGAGAGTTGGCAATGGGATTTCTTTTAGCTGCCTAGATCTGCAGGTGCAACGCCTGAGGCAGGCTGAGCCTGACCCCAGCGGGGCCTCTACGAAGCACTTTGACAGGAAGAAAGGCGACAAGGGACACCATTTCTATTGCTGAACATCAATGTCTCTTTATTATTTGGATTTCCCCCCTCATTTGTCACATATCTGTCCATGTTTACACAATGAGGAAACACCAGCCAGCATGGGAGGCACTGACTGCATCAGTTGATAATTCCGTACCCTCTGCACACACACGGTTCTTCCTTGGTAGGGGACACCTCTCATTCCGTTCCGTCTCGCGGCTGTCCTTAAGATTGGTGTCAAGATTGTCACATCTTTAAATAGAATTGCCCGAAGTACATAATTATATATATATACACACATACAGAAAAATACAAGACTAACTGCTGCTCCACACTATTTAATTTATACACTACTGCCATGATATGCGACTTCTGAAGACAGGTTCAGGGGTACAAGATACTGTTTAGAGCAGGGAAGTAGTTTGGTCCAAGATTATCGCGCGTGATGGTTATCCGCTCCCTCCGGTTTGGGAGATGACATACAATGACATACGACACATGCACAATCATTCACCGAGGAACAAACGGGGGAGACGCCACGCAAACTAACGTGTGTACCCAGAGGGCCCGCCAACCACACACAACTAGTAAGGCTATCATACAGCTATGCAGCATCAATGGTCAACACTGCTGATCCTAAGTGAGCACCATATATACATCTGAATATAAAAACCCAAACACATACGGGTTAGTGAAAAGGTGCCGTTCCGAGGCTGTACAGAATCACAGGGAAAGTATTTACATGACTTGGAAAACAGCTGCAACAAAGAATTTATTGCCAATGCCCTTTATGAACTCCTCGCCGACCTTTAATACAGATGTTCCGCTCACTCTCCACGTGAACCACACATCTTGTTTCTGGCCCTTGATTAGATCCCTGGCTCCAGGATTGCAAGCGAATAGTTCTATGGCTTCACCCACACGTCTACTCTTGTAGCTTTTCCAATATAAATACACACTGATCTAGAGCTGTAGCTGAGAACATATCTAGCCTAGGTCTGGAAAGTAAAGTAAGTGTTTTTAAGTACAATTCGTTACTTAGTTCGCGTCAGTATGCTGTGAAATTCAGAGTTCTGAGTATAATACAGTCTTCCCAAAGTGAGCAGAGGCGATGCACACTTGCAGGAACCACGGCCGTCTTACGGCAGTTCTTTGGTGCTCTGCCTGCTCCACGTCACGTGACATGACCAGAAGCCACTGGGCCATCACCTCACACCTTACAGCCACGAGCCTCATTAGGTGAGGGTGGGCAGGACCCCCGCTCGCCTGGCCCCGCCGGCCAGGTTCCAGCCACTAGTCGGCCCACCTGCCTAGCACCCACGTCACTAGGCACGCTGAAAAGAACATCTGGCCCCTTTCCAAAATTAGCAATGTGCAACATACTGTGTCCGCGCAAGAGGACATGCCACACAGACGAGGATCTGGTCTCCAGCAGTCTCTGTACAGGAGCAACTGGAAGCAAGTGCTTGGAGAGCGTGTTTGGCAGGAAGGCAACATGAAAAACACTGCCAGCAAAGAAGGAGAGGGAAAAACAGAGCACGCTGTGCGTTTTGTCATTTTTTTGTTTTGTGTTGACCTGGTGAATTTTAATTTGTGTTTGGTTTTTAGATCAGTCCATTTTCACAGCCGAGTCAAAGGATGGGAAATAATGGAAAGACAAAAGGGATAGGTGATTACCAAACGCCTACAAACCGACGCCGGCACCTTTAACCAGCTTCTCAGGGAGGGGCTTTGGCCCTGGTCAGCGTCTGGGTGCAATGGCTGTCCTCCTGCCCCGGTGGTCAGGTGGGAGCCCTGGGGTAGGCCGGGCCCGGCCTGGCCCCACCCCCAGGGGGCGGAGCCCAGAGGCTCGTTCTGGTTTGTTGGACAAACGCACACCTTGGGAGTGGAGGTGGGGCGCCAGCGACCCACTGCATCGCATCGCCAAACAAGATTGTCTGCTTGTCAGTAACTCAGCCTACAAACCTACCATAAGTACTTTCTCTCCCTGACTCACAAAAAGCGAGAAAATCTGCGTTTCTCCGTTAACATGTTCAGAGCCCAAACTTGTTTTCACACTATAGCGTAAGACAAACGGGTATGGGTATGTTCCTTCGAGCGGTCGAATCTCAGTGCAAGCCCGGTGCCCAGGCCCCCGCATGGCCTTATTGCTTTGCCTCTGCCGTGTCCCGCGGCCCAGAGTCTCCGCTCAGAGGGCACCACGGGCAGGAATTTGGATTTTTCACAAGGAAAAAAAAAGGGTTTGGTTTTGTTTTCTCGATTTCTCTCTCTCTCTCTCTGCCTCTCGCTTACTCTCTAGGTTAAGTGCAGAACATAGATTTCTAAGTGCTCCGTTTATATTAGGTTCCAAATATACATTTTAATTTCATCCTGATCATCCACATTAAAATTACAAAAGTAAAAATTACACAATAGACTTTTCGGCTGGAAAAGAAGTGTCTAGCAGCATGCACAAAGACCATGCGTTGTCACGTCATCGGGCAGACAGATGACAAGGTGATAACTAACCGCTCCTAGTGCCCGCTGTGCACGAGTGGGGCTGGAAGGGGCTGGCCGGGCAGCGGGCGTGCACGGTGGCCTCAGATGACGTGGCAGCAGCTGGCCTGGCTAGAGGCGCACAGCAGGCCCTCCTTGGGGCTGCGCTGGATGTTGACAGAGATGGTCTTTTCACACAGAGGTAGCTGAAGCACGTTGTTTTTCAGGTTCTTGCTCTGTATCCGCTCCAGTTGGGTGGTCGGCGCCGACATGTGGTCAGAGAAGAACTTCAGGCTGCCCACGGCGGGGGCCGGCCCCGCACTCCCCGCTGCGCTAATGCACATCTTCCACGAGGACTTCTCCTGCACCTTCACGCTGGAGAAGGCCAGGCCGTTCTGGGCGTCAAGGAAGTACTTGGCGCTGCCCTGGAACTGCGAGCCCAGGCACAGGCTCATGAGTTTCAGGCTCTGGACCAGCTCACCGGCGCTGCGCGGGGCCAGAGCCCCAGGGCCCACCGAACCCATGCTGCGTGAGGCCAGCGGCCCGGGATCTCCGGGGCCGGCGCTGCGCGAGGCCAACTGCACTGGGGCCCCGGGGCCGGCACAGCGGCGCGTGGTGCCCGATGTGTTGGTGGGGTTGCCACCCGAGCCGCTGGAGGGGCTGCCCCCACCGGCGTTGTTCTCGCCAGGGCTGGCCTTGTCCGCCCCGCCGCTGCCCTGGCTGGGCTTGCCCTGGCCCCCGCCATCGCCCTCACTGCCCGGGGGGCCCTCGCTGCTGTCCCGGCGGTGCCACGAGTAGGAGAAGCCGCTGTCCTTATCAAGGCGCCGGCGGCTCTCCGAGTCGTCGTCGCTGGTCTCGGAGCTGCTGCAGCTGGACCCGCGGCCCTGGCTTTTCCTGCGGTGGTAGCGCTTGTGCACGGTGCCCGGGGAAGCGATGTTCATCTTTAACCTGCTCAGCTTGGGTGGCAGATTCTCGTCCATGTCGAACTCATCGTCGGACTCCCCCTCCTCAAAGATCTGGTTGAGCACCGGGGCGCTCTTCCTGGACGTCAGGCGGTTGGTCACGGAAGGCTTCCGGCGCAGAACCACCTGTGTGGACAGGGACACGGGCTTCTTGTCTTCCTCGTCCTCCTCTTCGTCCTCTTCCACGCGGAACAGGCACTTGCGCCCGCTGGCTGTGGGCTTCAAGCTGGCCGGCGGCCCCGAGGACACCACAGGCCCGGCCAGCTCGGGGAGGTCCTCTTTCTTAGCCGGGTCACACAGGCCTTTGCTCCTGTGCCCGTTGAGGACACTGTCCGTAGCCCGGGCGGGAGATTGCGGGACAGTGGCGTGCGACAAAGGGGTGGCCGTAAGGTCATCGTCCAGGTCCTGGGGCACATCGATTTTGGTTGGCCACGATTGCCTGGGTGACAGATGAGAGAGACAGAAGGCATGTGATAATGCACAAAACCAGAGCAGAGCCAAAGGGCGAAAGCCCTCACTTCAACAAACCCAACGCACCCCGTTCAAACCGTGAACCCTTCCGCGAGGACCCTGGACTGGCAGGGTGGCCAGTAGTGCTGGTCCAGTGCACCATGATGGTTGTCTGAAAACTGGGGGGAAGCCCGCCCCGATCCCGAGTGGGTCCTCACATGATAGCTATGGCCCACGCAGAAACCAAACCACACCTGGGTGCCCACTGGCTCATGGAGAAGAACGGCAGGCCGGGCCAGTGCACACAGGGCTGAACGGAAGTACGTTAGCCGGTGTGAAATCTGAGCATCTAAAGAGGCACACGAACATGTGTTTTCTAGGCCCACACACTGGCCTGTTGCTGAGACTGGCTGCGCCCTCCCACATGGACTCGCTCTGCGTGTGGTGGCCAAAGAACGCTGTGTGGCCTCCGCCGACACCGCCACCCTGGGCTTCCCGACGGGCACACCCCACAGGCTGTGCTGAGGCCACAGACTGCAGCAACAGCCACTCCAGTTAGACGTCCGGCTCCGAGGCCTACCCAGGCTTCAATC